TCATGATAATGAACAAATACTAGAATCTTAGATATACAAATAATTAGATTATATATGAAAATGTATAATTTGATATTTAGAGTCAAAAACGAATCTAACAATAAAAATTGTAAGTACAATTCTAATTAAAAGATGATGTGTAAAAAATAAAAGCTGAATCAAATTAATGAAATGATTTGATTGGAAGATAGAAAGCTGATGTGTCAGCTCCAGAATAGCCTAAAATGCTGACGTGGCGGAAGGATGGAGAGAGTTGGCCTCCTTTCATATATATATATATATATATATATATATATATATATATATATATATGATTTTTTTGCATCAACTAGATAGCATTATACATTAGTATGGATAGAAATATAAAATTCTTTTAATTTTATTGTATTTATGCTTAAGCTTTTCTAGTTTTGTTATGTTCTTTTTGTTTGATATATTTATTTATATATATAAATATAATGTAAGACATATAATGTAAGGCATACAAAAAATATTTATTTTTATATATATTTTTATTTTTTTCAGAACCAACATTATGTTTAACGTCCAAATAATAACGTCGGTTGTTGAAAAATTATTCACGTTGATTATATAACTGACGCTATGTTTATTGTCCGTTTATTATTTATTTTGTTATTTATGGTCATTTTGTTTAATAAAAAGAAATATTATAATAAAAACTTTTCTTTTTTTGATTCTGGACCCCGAGAGTTATTTCTTTCAATCTCTTAACTATAAATTTTTAAGAAACAGTTGACCAATATCAAATCTTCAATTAATTAAACAAGTAGTTCTACATGAACATAAATATCTTAGAAAAGTTCTACATACACATAAATATTTTAGAAAAAACGGTCAAATCCATGATATATCATCTAGCATGCTAATCTTATAGCAGTCTGAAAAAATAAAGACTTCGAGGAGAAGGTACAACATATGCATATTGTTGACCGTGCAAGATTCAAATGTTAACATAAGAACAGAACAACAATGAACCATATAGAGGAAAAGTCCAATTTATATGTAAATGCAAAACCTTTACTAAGGCTCACAAAACAGCTAAAGCATCAAAAACTTCCCGTGGACAAAACGTAGAGAAAGCCATAACATCAAAATTGTTTCATACTTTCATTTGTATGTTATTTCTCTATAAAGGAACTCAATTCCACTGCTAAGTCAAGATTTTATGTAAAACAAGACTAATTTCCATAAATTTTATTTTCTAACATTAGTGATTCAATAGCATGACGAGAAATGAACAGATCCAAATCCAAAACAACCATGGGAAATGTGAATTATTCATCTTTCGACATTGAAATTGGAAAAAAAATCACTAAAGATTGAATCAAATCCTTTGTTTTAAATCAAAAGACTTAGAGCATCTCAAATGCCTACTTCTATTTTAGAGCACCTTTATTTTGGAGGTGATTTACGAAATCGATTTCAGAGCAATCGACGATGCAAGTTACGAAAGTTTCCAGTGTTCTCCAATATCGAAATTTCAGTTTCCAGTGTACTCTCATATCTTTTTTGTATGCCTTACATTATATTTATATATAAATAAATAAATAAAAAACAAAAAGAACATAGCAAAACTAGAAAAGCTTAAGCATAAATACAATAAAATTAAAAGAATTTTATATTTCTATCCATACTAATGTACAATGCTATCTAGTTGATGCAAAAAATAAGTATAATAATATGTAGTTTTGTTAAAGAAATACCTAAGAAAGGAAATACAATGAGGATATAATAAATTTCCTTAAAAAGGAAAAGTATAAAGTAAAAATTTATTATCTGCATATTAAAAAGAAGTGAATATGATCAAATTAAATATTATAAGAAAGAATAAATATTATAAAAAAAAACTACATATATCTCATATGTAAAAATCAATGCTTGTGAGTCAACCACATTATATTAGATCATTTAAGTTTAATGGAAAAAAATCTTATATATATAAAAATTTGGTTATTATTTTGTATAATGCTATCTAGTTGATGTAAAAAAAAATATAATAATAGGTAGTTTTGTTAAAGAAATAAATTAAAAAGGAAAAGTGAAGAGGTGAAAAGTTATTATCTGCAAATTAAAAAGAAGTGTATATGATCAAATTAAATATTATGAAAATAATAAATATTAGAAAAAAACTATATATATATATATATATATCATATGTATAAATCAATACTGGTGAGTCAACCACATTATAATAATAGATCATTTAAATTTTATGGAAAAAGATCTTATATAAAAGATTTAATTATTATTACCAATACTTCACTCATAAGTCATCCCTACATTATATATATATATATATATATATATATATATATATATATATATATATATGTGTGTTTAATCTTATACACTCAGTTACCACCATTACCCATCACCTCTCTAGCAAATGCACACATATTCTTCATTTACCTTATCTCTGAAATAAGAAATGGCTTCTAATGAACTAAAAAGTGAGAATGTTTTAGCGACGCTTAATCAAACAAGAAAAAACATAGAGGAATTCACAGAAGGTATTAAGAAAGAGAGAGATGATAATTTGGCGATGCTTGCAGGAATAGAAATAAAGATAGACGAAATAGAGAAGAATTTCAAGGAAGCTAACAAATATTATCTTTATTTGGAGAAGGAAAGAGAAGCAGATGATACTTTAGTGAATGAAGAATTAAGGTGTAGATTAGATGTTCTTACAAAATCAATTAATGATATATATGACTTTTCTGAACTGTTGTTGGAAAAAAGTAAGACAACTATCTCTCTTGCTAAAAATAAGAGTGAAGAAAAATAATTTAATTATATATGTATGCATGCTAGATATTATGAAACATCATAATAACAATTACAATAACGATGATTTATATGTATGCATGCTAGATATTATTAAGTGTTACAATCAAGCGTACAATTAAATATCTTTTATATAAAATAAACAATTATATTTTTATATTCTATCCTAATATACTTTATTTATTTAAATCGATTTGTCAACGTTTTTAATTTTTAAATTAAAAAAAAAAAATTTTAAATTAAAAAAAAATTGTTGATATTATGTTAACCATGATCAGAAAACAAATGATCAGAAGCAACAAGAACAATCGACACCTTTCTATGATTTTTATTGGTTTATATAAGAAAACACTTTAAGAGATTTGGTACTATCAAGTTCCAGTAGAATAAAGAAAATCACCTAAACACAAACACCAAGAGATAGAAACAATATCCCAAATCAAAGTAAAACTATTAAACTAAAACGGTAAGACATGATGTCTTAGACATCTAAGACTAAACCGACTAATCGTTGTAGCGAGGATTAGGTCTCCCTAGCACATCGTATATATTGTAGAATCATACAAAATAGATGAGTAGAGCCACCGGCGTCGGAAATTATGAGCAACAATCATGTGGGTTTGGGACAATTATAGTCTAGTATATATATTTGAAGAATATAACCAAACTCATGTTCATGTACCAGCATCACGATTCAGTTTTGCAACAAGAAATATTCAGGTACTTGTATACCTAACACTATTTCAGTTACATCAGAACAACATGTATATCATCTATCCACAAAATATATCATCATCAAGAGTAATCTATCACAAGTATTAAAACAACCTATCATCAATAAAAATATGTCAATATGATATAGTTTTTAGGTGTTAAGAAATATTCTACTAGCACTGCAATTTTGTATACCTTTGTTTCTGGATTTAACACGACAATCCAAAAATGTGCGGTTTTGACTAAAAAGGATCCTCATTAAACTTGTTTCTCAAACTAAGCTAAGCTCTAAAAGGCGAACTCTAAGCCAATTGAACTCTAATAAATGACATTGTCATGTCTACAAATAAACATTAACAAAGAAAGATTCAATTCACAAAAATAACCCTTTTAGAGAAGAACATGAGAATGGGAGATGTCTACAAATAAGATTGAATTCTCATGAAAAAAATATCATCAACAAGAGTAATCATTAACCTGGTGAAACTGCTCGTCTGATACTCAGGCCTACCCCCAAAAATATTGTTCACAACATGTACCTCAGCGAATTGATTTCTGGTGAAATTGTTCAGAAAAGCCAGCTTTGTCTCCTACCAAGTTGTCAAAGATCCTGGCTTCAACTTTCTAAACCAATAAATCGCTTCCCCAGCAAGATAGTATGGGAAAAGCATGTAGAAAAAATTGTCAGCAGAGACACCTTCTACCTTAATGCTTGAGACCAAGACTTCAAATATCTCGATATGATCCAGTGGTAGCTCATTGGAAAGACCGCGAAATCGGATCTGACCCACCAAAGTTATAGTTTCAGCTCAAAGTCATCCCTTTTGAATGCAGGCGATCTGATCGTAGACAGATTGGAATAGAAGAGATCAGGTCTGTTATATTCACCAATCGGCATTGGCATGTTGCCCGTGTGGTGTCGGTCGTCGAAATCGTACATCTGTTCGTAGTGTTCGAGTTCCTCAAGCCCCTGAAACACAAGAAACAAAAGAAAAGAAAAAACAAGAGTAACAAAATAAAAAAAAGAAGTTTAGACTTAAATCTACACCTAGTCTAATGGTAAATCGAAGAAAACTTCGGCAACGACACCAAATTTGATATGGGTCAAATTGCCTAAAGACCATTCTTTCAAATAAGAGATCGTGTGTGGCACTTTACGATCGAATTTCACAAAGCTCTTGTTGTTCACACAATAGATATACAGGTTTTGAATTAAGCTAAACAGAAAATTAAATAAAGTAAAAGACAAGAAAGCAATTAAAATTGAGTTATAAAATAGATCGATGAAACGTTAGACTCAGGAATTTCTCAAAAAATATTAGAATGGTAGATCTAGCAATTAGTTAGGAATTATTAATGAGCTGTTCAAGAACTTAAATCACAAAACTATAATCAAATAGCAACTCTGTCTGTATTGACTATCTATGCCTAATAGCAGGATTAATAAAAAGAAATCAGAAAAGAGGAGAGAGAATGCAAACTAAAACAAAGGTTTTTTTTTTTGATTATTGTATAGTACATATGAGGACTACATGTCGTTTTATCATATGTAGAAGAGAATGTCGTCTTTCTCCTAGCTCTGATTGTGTACATTCCAGCTTCAGTGCAAAGACTTTTAAAATCATCTCATGCAATCTCAAGCATAGTACGTTGGACTTCATTATCACCAACTACACCATCATCAAATCTTGCACCACCAATGACCTCAACTTCGTCAAAGAACACAATACAAGCTTTCTTGAACAATGACATCTGAAAACAGAGTATTTTACAATTCAGAACAAAATATAGCAGCATTGGCTTGACAAATTCAAATAGCAAAAATGAGTGTTTACCATCAATTACATGAACAATTAACTCCTTCACCAACATACTTGTGAACAAGCTCACTGCCAATAACCATGATAAAGCTAGCATCTGTTGTATTGGCCATAAAACAACATATTTACATCACACCACTTAGTTTAACTTTAGCAAAAAATCTGTTTCGAACACCGGTTTATAGACACTAAACCCTAATAACCAGGGGAACCCAAACCAAATACGATAAGAACACAGTGCCTATAACAGTAGAACCACCACAAGAAGGAATACTAAACCCTAATCATTCCAACCGAGGGGAACACAAACCAAGTGTCATAAAAACAGAGCATCACTAAGAAATAGCTGATACTAAGTGCACGCAATTTTTGTAAGCCAATTCAGTTCCGATTGTAATTGAAAGCAAAAATGGTAAACCTGTCGACGAGCGATGTATCGGCCTTGATGGAAGAAATATTCTGCAAAGTTTCATGCATGGGTAAGATCGAAGTCAATATATGTCCAGATTACCATATATAATTAAGTTCTTAAATATGTTTTATAAAGAGAATTAAAGCTGAATTTGGTTGAAATGGAAATTTAAAACAAACGAAAAAGACTCAAAAAATAATGGCCAGCAAATCAACAATTACAAAGCAAAATTAGATAAGTTTAAGCATAAATACAAGATAATATAAAGCATTTTTTATATTTTATTTATGCATACTATTATTTAAAATAATATATAGTTTATGAGGAAATTAATACCTAGAAAGAAAGAAATAAAATGAGGATAAATTAATGTCCTTGGAAAGGAAAAGTAAAGAGTTAACAGAATTTGTAAGTTGTAAATATAAAATAAATTGATATCATAAAACTAAACTATGAGAAAAAAAGAACTTAAATGAAAAATAAAGATAACTCATACGTAAAAATTCAAGGGGCTTTTGCAAAAATGCCACTTTTTCAATGCCACTTTTCAAAAATACCTTTTTTTAAAAACCTTATTAAAAATGCTCTTAAAAATATAAGAATTACCCAAATATGTATGTAATATTATTAAAACATACACAAACTACATTTATATGTATCTAAAATCTTATAAATACTTTATAAATACCTTATAAATGTATTTTAAATACCTTTAAAAACCTTTAAAATATCTTGTAAAACCTTTGAAAAATCTTTAAAATCCTTTAAAATAACTTGTAAAACCTTTTAAAACACCTTATAAAACCTTATAAATACTTGGATCGAGTCTTCAAGTAGTAGTTACAATCCATAAGTACCTTATAAACCTAATAAAACTTTATCAAAATTTCATATTTAAAAAGGGGCATTTTTGAAAATGGACATCTAAAAGGGGCATTTTTTAAAAGGAACACACCAAAAGAAGTATTTTTAACAATTTCCCAAAATTCAATGCTCTTGACTCAACCACACTATATTTGGTAATTTAAATTTAATGGAGAAAGATCTTTTCTCAAAATTTTATATATTATCTTACCAATACTTAATTCATAAGTCATCCCACATTTATATATATATATATGCTTGTTCTTCAGCATTCAATTACTCATCACCACCCTATCAAACACGCATATTCTTCCTTTACCCTATCTCTCAAATAAAAAATGGCTTCTTGTGATCCAAAAGGAGATGTTGTCTTGACGATGTTTGCTCGAACAAAAAAAATTTAGAGGAATTCGGGGAGATTTTTAAGAAAGTTGACCACATAAATAAAGGAACAGAATTTGATGTTGGTTTTGCTCAAAGAATAGAGAAAATCGATAAGAATGTTAAGGAAGCTAGCCAATATTATTCTTATTTGGAGAAAGAAAAAGCAGCAGATGATACCTTTGTGAGTGATGAAGTAATGGAAATGGTTAAGGATCTTGATAGCGTGAGTATTGGTCTGAACAACCTCTTAAAACAAGAGTGGAACTCATCTCCGTCGATGATGATTTGATAACTCCAAACCAGAGAATAAAAATTAATTGTCATTGATTTGAAGACTAATCCCTACATATCATCATACTAATACAAGAACAACAATAATAACGATGATGATAATTTATGAATACATTGGATGAAATTGATATTTTTCTATATAATAATATTATTTTAATGTATAAATATGTAACATGCATATTGATTAATTTAATAAGATTTTTACAAAAAATAATAATTCGTATTGCATTAATTATTACAAGATAAGAAGCGGATATGTGACGGCCAAATAAGTATGATACATATTGCATATGGCTTACTACAACAGATTTGTGAACAAAAATAAACGTCGCAAATAGCTCAAGGCAAATGAAAATTGTCAGTGTATTCTGTTGCGAGAACAGCCACGCTTCGTTGTTCTGTTGCAATTCTTTTGTAAGTATTACAACGTTCATGTTTGTAAAGAAAAATTGTGTTGCAAAAAGAATAGTCACAGTACCATCACAAAGTTTGTATCACTAGTGCAACGTTATATCGTTTGTATAGATTTTTTATCGTCGTAGTCATGTGTACATTTTTTGTTAATATTATGTTAATCAATTTAGTAGTCATGATTATGTTTATTACACTATCACCTCATGTTTAGTACCCTTTCGAAAACGGAGGTCCTCTATTATGGTCTTGATGGCTCTGTTCTAAAATGCTTCAAATGTGTCCATAATGAATGATCCCTGAAGATTTTGAGAGCTCTTTAGAAAACAATATTAAAGCTTACAATGAAGAATGGAGAATGGAGAGCTAGCAAATGACGTTTGAATGTTTAGAGCCATTTCACTCTTCCAACAAGTCTCATTTTTTTTGGAGGCTACTATTATAATGTTTAGATGATTTGAAAGAGTCGAATACAAGAGAGACTGCCTCCTACATTGTCGGAGTTCTTTAACAAACTTGAAACAATCAACTAAGTACTTTCTAGCTATGACTCCTTTAACTTATATCGGAACCTTATTATAATAGCTGATGACTAAGTCTAAACGACTAAGTCCAACATAACTCAACACAGACCACCCAATCACATCTTCTTTCCAAGAACTCCATGCTGCTCCACAAACTCACCTCCGCTTAGCATCTCTGTAGTTCCATATACAGCAACCGCATACAAATATCTGATAAGTTTTATGTTGTTTAGAACCGCATCACCCAGATGGTGATTGGCGTAGGGGATTATCAACACGGACTTTATTGTTTTAGAGGCATTGAGATGGTGACAATGGCACAAACCATGGAACAGCAGCCTTATGATGTGTGGCATCGTCGATTCGATCATCCTGTTTACTAAGGTTCTTATAATTAAAATATTAAAATGAAATCAGAAAGGAGGAGAGAGTGTGAGAGCCGACTCTCGTCGAAAATTTCTGAAAAACCCTTGGTGCCACATGCTTTAATTGTATTGGTCAAATACTAATACTATTTATTATTTAAATATTAATTAGATAATAAAATAAAAATAAAAATATTATTTTTTAATAGATGACAATCCCACTTGGAGAACTCTAGCAATGTGGATGCTCTTGTATATACATTCTCTTAAATGCTATATATAAAAAGCTAATAATACGTTCAAAAAAATAAAATAAGGTTAATTTTTCCAATGTTTGCAAAATTTATAGTATAACTGAATAATAACTTGGTCAACATCACTAATAATATTGACTGATCGATGAATTCACGTAACATGTATTTCAAATACAATGATGGATGAAAGGCTAAAAAATTTGGTTCATAGAAAAGTATCTATATGAACGGCAGATTTTTTTTCCTAAAAAGGACCATTGAAAAGAGAAAGCTCCCAGGCACAATTATCGAAGTCGCCTCACCAAAACCTTTTTCCGGCACCGGTAGAGCCTCTGCTTGCCGGTGCCGGGATCTTTTTCCTTCTCGGCGATTTCTCTTCAAAATCTCTCTTGGTTGGATCCTCTTCTTTTCGTTTTCTAATCTTTTTGCTCCTTTCAATTTGTCCCTTACATCCAAAAGTGTTGAGACCGACACATACACGACCGTGCTTACTGTTGGAGCTAGCTCCTTTACCCTTAAACTTCCCGCGATTCTCATGGGTCGTCCTTCTCACCGGCTCCCCTCGAAGTCAAGACCAGCAACTCACGGCTCCTCTCTGTTGGATTTAGATCCCCCCACCAAGCGTTTTGCTTGGATGCGGTTGGACCGGAGCTCTGCTTTGACGTCGGAACCGATGAAGAACACGATAACGGATCTCTCAACCCACTCCTCATCTTTGGCAGCGCTGGTTCGGCCAGATCTCGTACCTAGAAAACTCACCGCCGTTTTGCAGCCGCCGTCGGCGAAGATGGGAGGTAACAATTTGCTAAACCTAATGTTGCTCTTTTTATCTTGTTGTGGGCCTAGCCCAAGAGAAATCTACTACCCCTTTAGCCCATTATCCCCTATTTCGAAGCCCATTAAGAGTTTGGTTGGTTTAAGTCCACATATTTTATGGCCCATGATTGGTTTTTACTTTAGTTTGGGAAGCCCAATTGTTATGAATTCCTTCTCGTTTCTGGAAAATAGAAGACGCCTTCTAAGATCAGGAGCTATGGGTTTAGGTTGGGCATGCTTCTCTCTTTCACGAATCATGGAGGATAGTTTTGTTTGTTTGCCTTATGATGCAAGTCTGATCTCGAAACGCTTTGGGCTAACTCCACTTTCTAAGTGTCTTAGAGTTTCTCTGCCCGTGTCTAGTAGTGATAATTTTCTGTCAAGCACAATCCCTTTAGCATCTTTTAACTCTGGTTTGGCTGGTCGAGGACTCCACGCTAGCAGAGTAATGGTTTCTTTAGGCTGGTTTGATAGATACCTTTGTCGAGGTCAGATGATATATTTACATCAAACCCTATCAGAGACTCCCAACCCCAGCCATTACCAATTGCCCAAAAGGGTGAAGAAGAACGGCATTATGATCCCGTCTCTACGGAGCGGTGGTTACCGAAGCTTCTTCAACTCTCTATCTCCGCCTCCCCTGAAAACCAAGCTCATTCATGTGCAAATCAAAGAGTTCAGGTACAATACTCAAACATTTAAAAGCTTGAAGAAGAATGGCATTATGACCCCGTCTCCGAGGAGAGGTGGTTACCAAAGCTTCTCCAACCTCTTATATCCGACAGCCTCCTCCGTGGAGCATTTTCTCAAAAACTCGTTTGCGTTATTCGCGCGAGCCGTCTATGACCATCCGTTGGTCGAGGATTTCGCGAAGCTCGTCTTCATGGTCGAATCCGCTATGGCCTCAAAAGATTCTTCAAACTTTGCAAACCTTTTTAAGATGAGCATCATTTTGGAAAACTCATGGAGCCTTTATCTTTATTCCTATTGCATTTCCTTAGCTTCAGCTTGTATGAACTTCCCTCTTTTGAGGTTTTAAGTGAATGAAAGCTTGTTTGACAAAAAAAAAAAAAAAGTATCTATATATACATTTTTGGAACACTTTATGAAATAAATCCTCAAGTTGCAACTTATTTACAAAGAATGTCATTGACATTAATTATTATCAATTAATTAAGATTCTTAATTACTAGCATTTCTTTATCTAATATATTCCATTAATTCTAATTACTTAAGAAAAGGAGAAATCTTAGGACATTATTAATATTATACTTTATTGAAAGATAAATATTATAGTTATTTAAAGTTTATTAAACGTTTAGAATATTTAACGGAAATTTTTTTTAGAATATATAATATATGAAATCTATAAAAATTAAATAATCGTTTGAAAGAAAACTTTAAATTGGTTTGAATTATAAATATTTTAATAAAAGTATTATTCAAACAAAAAATAATGTTTAGTTTCATCGAACATGATTAGATGGTATGACGGATTTATATTATTATAATATATGAAATTTATAACAATTAAATAACCATTTGAAAGAACATTTTTAAATTGATATGAATTAGATATCTTTTAAATTAAAGTATTATTAAAACAAAAATAATAAAATAATGTTTAATTTCACTGAACGGGGTTAGATGGTAGGACGGGTTTGGGTCGATAGTAATACGAGACGGTATACCACGGTGAAATCCATTAGATATGTTTAATTTCACTGAACGGTATTAGATGGTAGGACAGGTTTGGGTCGATAGTAATACGAGACTGTATACTACGGGTGAAATCCTAGATATAACAATCAAAATACAATTATACTATCTTAAACACTAAACAAAACAAAAAATTTTAACAAAATAAATATAATTTAAATTTAAATTATATAGTTATAATCTAGATTTTAACTTAATGAACTGTATGTTATTGTTTATATATTTTTAAACAGTAAAAATTAAACATAGTAACTGTACACTAAAAATATATAGATATAAGAATGGTACATTTAAAAAATACAAAACATTAAATTATATATATTTTTAATCTACTAAACAAATTAAATTTTTATTTTAAAAAAAAATTATAGTCCCGCGGTGTACCGCGGGTTATAATCTAGTTAAGAATATTTTTATACCTATATAACAATTTTTTTTGCCCAACATATGGGTCAAATAAACCTAAAGACCACTTTCGCAAATAAGAGATCGTTGTGACATTTTAGGGTTGAATTCCACAAATCTCTTGTTGTTCACACAATAGACATATAGTATTTGGATTAAGCTAAACATAAGAGATTGTAAATTAAAGTAAAACAAGTAATTTAAATCGAGATGAAAATCAGATGGATGAAACGTTAGGCCTAGTGAATTTCTCGGGAAATATTAGAATTATAGATCTAGCAGCTAATTAGTATTATTATCGAACCGCTCTAGAACTCAAATCACTAAGCTATAGTCAACCAACTCTCGTCTGAATTGACTAACTAAACCTAACAGCAGGAAGTTCTAACTCTCATCTGTAAACTCCTAAAATTAGACTAGCATTAAAACCAGGTTTGATATGTTCATAGAGATTCCTAAACCAACTCTCGCCTGAATCTAGTCATTTCTGTCCACCTAATATAGTTCCAGTAATAAGCGCACTCTTATGTCTAACCTATTATCCTAAGATCAAGTTCTAGTTAGTTACTCTAGAACTAGCATTAAGAACAATCCAAAGTGAAGAACTCTATAGATTTTATCCTAACAAGTTATCGATCTACCAATTCATCTAAATCTCTAATGAGAATTCTTAAACCTAACAAACAAACTACTCAGCCATGGAGATTGAAATAAACAACATGATTGAATAGAATTGCAATAAGAAATCAAGAGAAAAAGTAAAAGAGTTTAAGAAATCTTCTCTAGAGGGGAGCCCTCTCCAATTATCTCCCAAAAGGTTCAAGCTTCAAAATACAATAGATTGAGAGATATCTCTAAAACAAAACCCTAAACAACTATTTATATGTTCTTCAAAACGTGCAGAGACTTCTTTGAAAATAGGAAAAAGTTTTGAGGCGATTCCGCAAATTTTCAGAACTTCAAAGAGACGCGAAATTGAATTGCCGTCGGATATTGGTGTCGACCGACACCAGGGGTGGTGTTGATCGATACTCACACCAATTTTGGTCTCTAGACTGCTCTTGTAACATAACTTCTCGGTTTTGCTCCAGAATGATCAATAATCTCCAAATTGGTTCTGAACTTGTAAAGACCTGGAAAAAAAAACTAGAAAAGACTCTAGAAATAATAAAAAGACTTTAAAAACCATACATATATCATGGTTAAAAACTGTAAAAACCATGATATATATATATATATATATATATATATATATATATATATATATATATAAAATTGTAGTCTTATATTACCACATATTTAATTTTAGGGAGACTCACAAAAATGCCCCTTTTTCAATACTCTTTTTCAAAAATGCCCTCTCCCTAATAGCTTCCCTGAAATTGACCATTTTACCCTTAATGAGGCTTTGACCTAAAAGACAAAATTGTTCCCCAAACAAGCACGAACCAAAAATCTCGGCGGCTCTCATCACTTTCACCGTCGACGAATAAAAGGTCAATCTCCTGTCATCTTCACCGTCGTCGGACGATGCCATGTGCTTGATATTCACGCCGTCTCCTGTCACCACACCACCGACAAGACCAAAACCTCATCTTCAATCTGTCGAGAATCTTCATCTTTGCCGACCAGAGCTTCGCCGGGAGTTAAATCGGCGAGGATATCCTTCATCTATTGTCGTCGTCGTAGTCGATTTGGTCATCGATTTGTGTCCGCAGTCCAAGATCCGAGTCTGCCTCAATCTGTCATTACCTCTTTCACATATCTGAATTGAGTTAGTCCATCAATTGATTTTTAAGAGATTCGCTTATGTGTTTATCTATTTTCTCGATTTGGTGGAGAATAGGATTAAGAATTGGTCTAACTGTGTAATCTCCTCGATCTGGTTTCTCAACTTTCTGTAATCACACAAAAGTCCTCTTTAATCTCTTCTTCTTCGGTTTAAGTTTTGTTTCACAGCTTCAGTTTTGTCAGTTGTGATTTCAAAATCGATTGTTGTTTTTGCTGCAGAGTGATGAATCATGGGATTAGATTATTGTTTATGTGCAGTGGATTACATTTTTTGTTTCCCGGAGAAGAAAGGCTTCTTGCATAATGGCCTAATGGGTACCTGTGTAAAATTTTAAGGCTGGAGAAGATCTTAAGACTTGATGTTATATTGATTAGTTTGAGTTTTATGTGGTTTTGGTGTTTCTGATTTGTGTTCTTAAGAACTTTAGAACAACGATTGTGATTTGTGTTGTGGATGTGATCTAAAATATATTGTAAACTCTTTTAAATCCACGTTGTATAACCTTTAAAATACTTTGTAAAACCTTTTAAAACCTTTAAAATACCTTGTAAAACCTTTAAAATATATGTTGTCGAACCTTTAAAATACATGTTGTAAACCCTTTTAAAATACCTTGTAAACCTTTCAAATACCTTTAAAATATCTTGTAAAATCTTTAAATTTTAAAACCCTTATAAAACCTTTATAAAATATTTTCAAAGTTTTATAACTCATCTTATACCGTATAAATACTTTGTAAAATCATTAAAACACCTTGTAAAATCTTTAAAATATCTAGTAAAACCTTTTAAAACACATTGTAAAACCTTTAAAATACATTGTAAAACCTTTTAAAACACATTGTAAAACCTTTAAAATACATTGTAAAATCTTTAAAATACATTGTAAAACCTTTAAAATACATTGTAAAACCTTTTGAAACACATTGTAAAACCTTTAAAATACATTGTAAAACCTTTAAAATACATTGTAAAATTTTTAAAACACATTGTAAAACCTTTAAAATACATTGTAAAATTAACTTCACTATTTCATCAAATCATGTATTGAGCCACATTGAGTCACTTGTATAATAATAGCAATCACTTTAACAATTAAAGCACTAAATATAACAATCAATAGTGTTACATGGAATTTTCTTAAGTTACAAACTTACAAAAGACACATAAAAGTTGAGTAAAAACTTTTTGGTACATAACAACATGTAACGAAATCATCATCAAGTTTTCTTCTATTCCAACTAATGGAATCGTATCAGAAGACGAGTTAGGAGAGTTTGGACATGTTTGATTCATCTTGTCAAGCTTCTTAGCAATGCCCAAAACTGCAACGACTTTACGTGATTGACTACATCGAGGATGCTGGTCTTGAGGTGTTTTGCTTCAATCTGCAAGGACCTATGCTAGCTGAGAGTCTGTGCCATTTTTCATGGAACCAAACGTTTGAAGTGGAATAAATCAGAGATGATATACACAAAGTTGAAGCACTAAAATCATTAACAGTAAAAACAAACCTTTAAAAAAACATGTAAACCTTTAAAACACATTATAAAATCCAGAAGTTGAATAAATCAGAGATGATATACACAAAGTTGAAGCACTAAAATCATTAACAGTCAAAAACAAACCTTTAAAAAGCATGTAAAACCTTTTAAATACGTTGTAAAATCCAATGGGTCATTGTTAGACATCTGCGTAAAAACCAAGCATTAAAAGTATAAAACCATATCCAGTAAAAACAAAAGCAAAAAAGTTTAAGATAAACAAACCTTTAAAAAGCATATAAGACCTTTAAAAAATGTTGTAAAATCCAGAATTCCAAATCAAGCAGTAAAATCAATCATTAATAGTCGAAAATGATATCAAAAAAGCTTCTAAAAGAAAAACCTTTCACAGAATCACAGAATCTAACCTGCAAAAGACAAACCTTTCAAAACAGAACCACATAACCACATAATCTAACCTCTAAAGACAAACCTTACAAAGAATCTAACCTGGAATCGATGTGGGACTCGAAAACTGAACGAAAAGGGGACAGAAGAGGAATCTAACCTGGAATCGATGTCGGACTCGAAAACAGAAGGAAAAGCAAAATCGGAACAGAGAGAATAGATCTGAAATGAAAGCGAAATCGAGATCTGTAATCGGAATCGAGATTTAAAATCGGAATCGAGATTTGAAATCGGAATCGAGATTTGAAATCGGAATACTCGCCGATCAACGTGAGAGAGCGAGAGAGAGAGAAGAGATGAGGGAACCGATAGTTCTTAGGTTATGAAAGGAAGGGTAATTTAGTCATATTAGAAATAATTAAGGGGCATTTTTAAAAATGGTAAGCAAAAAAGGGCAGTTTTAAAAAAGGGTATAAGAAAGATGGCATTCTTAACAATTTCTCTTAATTTTAAGTTTTGTTATACGTATATATGTTACACATGTGTTACTATCATTTAAGTAACTTTGATTTAAAATTGTGTATTAATTGAAGATTAATGCCTAGAAGATATAATTAACCACAAAATTTATTATTTTAAAATAATTATTGGTGGAGTCCATAATATTATTTTGGTGATGATATGAACATCCGAAGAAGAGAGAAAACTCTCCCATTATATATATAGATCGTGACTACTTTTTTTAATTTCAGATTTCTGAAAATGGAGACATACCTTCTCTTTGGTAGCATACTTTTCAATATTTTTCTTTGAAAATAAATTTTTCCCAACAAAAAACTCAAGTTTCTCTTAGCCAACAAAAAAATTTAGCCGAACAAAAATCAATAAATTTAAACCATTATTGAAGTCAATTATGTACATTCATGATATCAAGAATAAAAGATAACCATATGAACAATGACATACATTGCAGATGGTTAGAGTAATTTAAAATGTGAAATATTCATATAAATTGTATGAAGAAAAATGTAAAAATCCATTTAATTTAAACTTTATGATAAAAAAAAATTATAGCGTAAAATTTTCACAATTCTAAAAATATTCACATATACATAAATTTCATAAATAATAATCAAAAATTATTAAAGTATAATAGAGATGGAATAAATTGTATAAGATGTTAGTGAATAGTGATACAGTTAAACCTCTATAAATTAATAATGTTGGGACCATGATATTTTATTAATTTATAGTGATATTAATTTATCTATAAATTAATATTTATTAATTTATAGTGTAAATTAATATTTATTAATTTATAGTGTAAATTAATATTTATTAATTTATAGAAAGTTTTGTTTTCATTGTTGAATTTTTTTAAAAAAAAATATGAGGAAAACAATGTGATCGAAATAAAATTAATGTTTTGGATGTTATAAATTTTATAGTTTTAGACTTAAACATTTAATATTTCGAAGAGAAAATAATTGTTTTTTTACAATGAATAACAAAGATTATAGAGTTTACATATATAAACGATATACATAAATTAAAATTTATAAATAGCGACATCTATAGTTGTATTTGAAAAACCTACGATTATTAAAACAAAATTGATGCATATTCTAAAATTTGAAAACTTCAAGTAAATTTTGGCTATTTTTATGAAAACCCCTAATATATATATAATGTAAAAATTTACATGATTATTAATTTATGATATTATTGGGACCATATTTTTATATAGGGATTTCAAAAAAAAATATTATCTTATTATCTTATCAAATTTAGTTAATTTTTACATTGGTCCGACTCAGAACCGGCAAAATTTATTAATTTATCGTGTTTATTAATTTATCGAGTATTAATTTATAGAGGTTCTACTTGAGTTTAATCTTATGTTATCTTTAATAACTATATTACTATGTGTTGTAAAGTCAATGGGTGTGTTAACCGTGACTTGTTACGAACCGGTGTTAATTTTGGAAGTTGCAATGGTTGCTTTCGTGTCTTTAGAGAAACTATATAACTAGGATGTTGTCTTATTGTAAAAGTTGTCGAGAATAATAGAGAATTTTTCCACTTTTTCATTCTCTGTTTTCTCTACCATGCTCTGTATTTAAAGCAATGGCTCCTAGTGAAATACAAGAGCAAAAATCTCAACATAAGAGCCTTAAGGCAAAAAAATTTTTTTGTCTATTGTTATATATAAAAAGAAAATTTACTTATTTTTTTCAAAAATATGTGGTTTTTTAATAGTGAAAATTGTCATTTTCAAAATATTGGGCCTTTTTATACTTTTTCTTATAATGAACGCCTGTTAAAATATAATTCTCATATTAATGATATTTTTATAAAATATTTGGGCATTTTTTATATATAAATTAAAAAAAAATCCTCAGACCGTTGCACCTCCGCCCACCCCTCTAAGCCGGGGCTGCATAAGATAAGTGAAAAAGATACGAATGGATCTTTTTTACCATTCAATACTCTTGTGATATTGCCTTTCACTTGAGTCTTATGTTCCTTTGAAGCATACTCTATTGTCTTTTCCTTTTTCTCGTCCTTAGTTTTCTTGATTGTTTTCTTAATCTCTTCGCAAAAATATCAAATTTATTTTGAATCAATCAAAGTTTAGGTTTATATAGATTGATTTAGTGAATGTTAACTGAAAAGAAAACCTACCGTAGCCCATCTTCTCTCGTTGCATTAGAAACTTCGGACTTCTCTACTCGCTTTTTTTTTTAACCTCTAAAGTAGCGAAAACGATTGACCGTGAGTAGATTTCATATCAAATCCTCTTCACAAATTCTTGCAGAAGTGACAAAATAATAATATTGAAATCTCATAATTACAAAGAAGAATGTTATAACTTACCAATAATTTGAAACTTGAAATATGGATGATTAGTGAGATGTGTTTTAAATTATTTATAGGAAATTTGTTTTTTTTTGCAAATATAAATTAATTATAAAATTAGTATATAATAAAAACGTATTTACGTTTTATAACCATTCAACTTTCTTTCACAATTATGTTTGAATATCATTTAAAAGTAAAGCTAAGAGTTGTGTTACACATTAAAGCTAACGAGTCTAGTGAGAATCTTTAGACATAGCGAGTCAAATGTTTTATAATAGGTGTTTAGAAAGATTCTAACTAGGCTCCATTTATGAATACCTTTGTTTCTGGATCTAGCACGCTGCACGACAATCCAAACAGGTGCGGTTTTGCTTCACTTTGGCTAGAACATGTAAAACCAGTCACTAACCGCATCTAAGCTCTAAAACGCGTATAAGCTTGAAACCAATCGGCAATCGAGCCACATAAATGACATCGTACTTGATGACTTAAGAGGAAAGATTCAGTTCAGAAATAACCCCTTCCCGAGAATAAGAGATGTCTCTCAGCGAACACAAGAAATCCTTGAGAAATGGCAATCTTAACAATAACGATTGGATTCATAAAATGACAAGAGATCAAAATCTTTTAAGATTAAAACCATAACAACTTTAACAACATAAAAAAAAAAAAAAAAAAAGATATCTAAAGATGACAATAATGTCAAATGGATAAAAACCAAGCATAGACTGGAATG